TTGCTTTATTACCAGACTCAATATTTGGCCCGTTCTTACATAGTAGATCACGTTCGCACATGCGCACTCTTCAAAATCGGTACTTCAAATCTTTTGAGAAACTAAAAGACGTAAAAAAATTTTATGTATTCTAAATAAAAGGCATCAGTTGTACTGAATGATAGCTTGCTTATTTTGCTCAAGATAAGGATTTATTGCGTACAAATGTCATACAATCTAGAAACTATACTTCTAACCACAGCTCGAGGGCTGTCGTTCCAACCACACAATTTTGCGATGCTGTTTACGAATGTTCGCTGGAATGATTGTTTCGGGAAAGATCGACTCGTTGAACTATGCTGATAACGACGGAACTTACAATTGGCTAACGATGCTTTTGGGAAATGCACACCAGAGCGTTACTGAGGTGTTGTAGTAATGTAAAATATCTGAAAAAAATAATGTGCTTTTTTAACATTCAAGCATGAAAAACCATTTTAGTAGACTCCAAAAACAAAATCGAGACTTTGTAAAAGAGCATTATGTGCCCCTATATATATATATAACATTAACAAACAGTATGTTATAGCATCGTTCGGTTAAAAAAAAAACAATAGAAGAAATTCACAGCATTTATTCACTGCAGAAATAAACAGTGATACAATAACAAATAATAAATAAATGAAATCACCTTTTAGTTCACTGAGCCAAAACAGTACTTTCAAGAACCCTCACAGGACCCCCAATTGAAAAATGACACGTTAGACAGATGACTAATACTTGACATTCAATTCTCATGTTCAACTCCACTGTCCACATCTTCTTAAAGGGGAAATGAAGCAGTGAATCAAGTTTACATGATTTTCAAGATGGATTTCCAATATAATCAACAACTATATAAGAAACATTACAAATGTAAACATTTAGAAGAAAAAATGAAAAAACTTTGTATCTTTCGCCGCCAGGGCGCCGCCATTGTGCAGGTGTCGTCACGGGGTTGGCTCAAGTTTAACAGGCTCTGGGCATTGAAAATCGCGACATTAAACTGTGTTTACACCAGTGTTTTGACCGCGAACGACTAATGTTAGGTACAGTTATTAGACAAAAAGACGACGTCTCATGTTATATGTTGACAAACTGAACATAGAAACATTGTTCGCGATGTCTGCCGTCATATTCCCGCCTCGTTTACATTTGTAATGTTTCTTATATAATTGTTGATTATATTGGAAATCCATCTTGTAAATCATGTAAACTTGATTTACTGCTTCATTTCCCCTTTAAAGTGACACTCACGCATATAACCTGTCAGAAAATTCACATTTACAGAAAACGAATAATCCGGCCAAGAAAACTAGCCTCAAGCAAGTTTTCTGCAGTCATATACTGTATAATGCAACAATCCATCTTTTATTTTATGGCTACATTACAATATACTTATCTTTAAATGCAACCACAAACCAGTATATATATAATATATAAATGACCATTTAAAACTATTACAAATGCTGTTAGCTGGTAAATTATCAAACATCTGGTTTGATCTGGCAAACCTCTTAGATTTTCTTTTATCTCTTAAGACCTTTTGGGAAACGTGAAAATTAAATCACTGACAGAAAGATACAAATTACTAGTTACACAAGGTCAATTAAACGCACATCTATATGTTCATTCTTTAAAGATAATACAAAACTATTACAAATGATGTTAGCTGGTAAATGAGCTGATCAAACATCTAGTCCACTTGGGTTTTCTTTTTTTCTCTAAGACCTTTGGGAAACATGTGAAAATGAAATCAGTGACAGAAATATACTAAAAATAGGTCAGATGTGCTACTTTGTGCATGGATGTTAGAGAACCATTTATGCTGTGAACAAACATTTCTGAAATGCTTTGATTTTTCCCTGCTTTCCATCTGCTCTGCTGCATGAATGAATCTGCGCGTGGCTTGTCATTCATAAAAGATTCGGAATAACACGAGAAGTAATGAATTATTTCAAACTCTCTAAATCCAATAAGACTTTGTATTACACGCACAAAATGTTAAACTATGTTGTTACTTACTGAAGTTAAATGAATTGATTCGGTCGTATTAAATGGGAAAATGCTTGGAAATGCTCAAACAGAAAAGGAATACTTAATGCTCTATATGCTAATCGCATTAGCAGGTGTTTTAAGTGCCCTGGTGTCAATGCTCAGTGGTTAACTGCCCATGCAAGAACAACATTTAACTGCTCTAGAACAAGAAGCAACCGTGTCAAATCAACCTGCTTAAGATATATGAATCTTTTACAGGCACTAATTTTATCTTTTGGGGGGTCTATGGACATCTGCTGTACTGAATCAGTTTGTTCAGATATTGGTGAGCAACACATGTTGTCTAAAAGAGAAAACAATACTTTTTAACTTTAAACATTTTAAAGGTATGTGGACGCACAAAAGCGATTTATCTACATAGAAATGACTAGTTAAACGCACTTTATATCAGGTAGGTTATACACGTTCATTCATAAAAATTACAATAATTACACAAAAGCAGACAATACTTCATAAGAAATGTTGGGAATGTACCCAGTATCACCAACAAATTTAAAGTTTAGACTTATTAGAAGTGCAAACCTCCATAGGTGGCTTCAAATAAAAGAGCATAAATTAGCACACAACAGCATTAGTAACACTAAACAAATTTTAAAAGCAACTATATCCTTATTAATTACCAGCATCAACTATTTACAACCCTTATTTTTTGCCCTGCCTTTAAATATCCATATTCAAGAGTCAATGGCCACTCCCTTAAACACCACAGTTGAAACAACTCATATATATATAAAGAAATACACGATATGATGTATTATATATTGTAATTAATAGAGCAAAATTTCACCTTTTTTCCAGGGAAGCATACGGAAAATGGGTATCAAAGGTCAAGGGAAAGAAAGTTCAAGGATATCATGTAACAAACCTTTAGAGCGCATAGGCCTAAATTTTAATTTATGAGTCTCTTGAGAGATTATGTAGCTTTCTGAGATGAGAACATCTACAGCCCAACAGCAGAACATATTGGACATTGACATAAAGGTGTTAGCAAGGGTTTAGCAACAATCACAGAAAGGATGTCTACAGTCTGGCATACCGACACACCATCTGATCCTCACTTTTACTATGCCTTCAGATGAAAACAAGAACTACTCTCTTAAAAGAATATCTACAAAAGGTATGTCTTCATTCATGTCTTTATTCAGCACACACACTCCACAGGTATACATAAAAAAAATCTGTGTTCTTTTCTTCTAGATGATGGTCTCTAAAAAAATGCACCAGAAAAAAAGGTTTGTTTCTTTACCAACACAAGGAAAAGAAGGGCATCTTCAGTATAGCTATTATTGTAATACTGTATCTCTCACACACACATACACACACACAGAGAGAGAGAAAGAGTGGCCTGCTTTCATTTCAGGCTGCCCCTCCTATAGCAGGAGATGCATCTCTGACCACCTGGGATGTTACCCAGCACTGGAAGTGGTAATTGCATTTCAATTATAGGCATGTGTGCGCGTATGTTTACGTGGCGTGTGCCTGATCTTGTACAACATAGTATAGGGAGGAAAAGCTATTCCAAACGAGCATTATTAGTGACCCACTAAAACAAGTCAAATATATCTGCATGAATTATATCATGGAATCGCTTTCAAAAATATTTTTCCCGCTGATGAAAGATAAAAACACCGACAGCCAATCAGAATCCATCCTACTTTAAAGACCTTGAACATTTAGAGTGACAAGACCACAAAACTGCAGCGCATGCTTATAATGTGCATTGGTGTGGATGCTAATATATTTGACTGATGGCACCTATAGCGACACGTATAGCCTACCTATTTCAAACAGTGACCTGGTGACTTGACCGATGATAAATCAAGTCACGTGAACGCCCCTTTACACGTCATAATGGACAGACGCCCAAACAGCTGAGTGAGTGGCCTCTCTCTCTCTCTCTCTCTCTCTCATGTACTCACACACTTTATTACTCTGACATCTGGCGCTTTTCACTAATATAATCCCTCTTCCCTTCCCAAGCCTCATGCTACCCATGGACAAACAAGATGGTATCTTGGTATCTATCTATCTATCTATCTATCTATCTATCTATCTATCTATCTATCTATCTATCCACAAGTAACCGGAAATAAAATAAGGACAGCGTTTCTAGCTGTCTGGTAGGAATAACAGATACTTTGATATAAAATAAAGATGGTATCTATCGACATTATAAATCTATAATATGAAGAATAGTCAGGTACTTAATGAGCCATAACTGTAAAATGCCAATATCCATCTGCAAATGTTTCCTTCAATGATCCATGTGTTTAATCTTTTGCGATCTTGAGCCACCTGCCATATCTGAGCGCGCGCTCATCTGGACATCAAAGCGGATTTGGCGCGGCCCGCCACAGCGAGCATCAAGTATTGACGATCCCATCTGAGCGACGCGACAAAAGTGGAACGCTTCCGTTATAATCAGCGAATGTAGATGTCCGCGCTGATAATAACTAAAAAGAACCGACTCACTCCAGAGACATTTGGATGACCCTGCCGCGCTAAATGATTTTGAGTCACAAAAGGAACATTTCGTTTAGAAATCGGTGGTGCTCCGAAAAAAATGCACGAGAACCGTTCGTGAACGCCACGGAAATTATTTAGTTTCTGTACGTTTTAAAAATGTAGCCTATAAGCGGTCCTTACCCAGAAACGGTTATCGGTTCCCAATCCCATAGACGCGTATTACGACATACAGAAGGCCTACAAAGTCATTTTTCTACATGCTCTTAAGAGGGAATCGATTAAAAATTCAGGAAATTTGTTCACCACACATTTATTTATTTCGCTAAAGCAAAGTGTTTTGCCATACAATATCACATAGGCCTATTCAAAATCCGCGTCGGTTTAAGTGCTCATTGAAGCAATAGCAAGGGGGTGTGTGGAGGGTGTGATGAGACATTTAAGATCGGTGTGATACTCACTCGCTTTGCCCTGTTTGGGTCTCTGGAGGAGCCGTTGGACGGTAATCAGATCCTCCGTCTTCACCGCCTGCAAGAGTTCTTGTTCCTTCCCCATTCTGTTCAATCACACACTCAAGCACCCTCTCTCACACATGCAGTCATGGCTATACTTTTACATCCAGCGCATCTTCAGGGGACCAGGCGACCATAACGGTGCCGTCAACGCCAGCACATCCTCGCCGTTCATCGTTAAAAGGTCGAGTGCGCAGAGTGCAGAGACACGCAAGGCGCGTTTACATGCCCAGTGAAGTGACCAGTGGCGTCCACTGAGTCGCTTACGACGAAAAGGGTCTTATTGCGTACTGAGGTGACAGAATCCAATCGCTTTCAGGTTAAAGGGACGGCGCGGAAACCTTGCGCGTATTTACGCACGGTGACATGGCTCGTTACAAAACTATCAGATGTTGTGTAAATCAAAACGGAAGCCGTCTATTTGACCCTAAGCTCGTAGAGAGACCGTATATATTACGTAAACATCCAGGCAGATGTGCGCGCGGGCGCTGGAGGTTGTAATCCGCTGTCACTTTCTCATGTGCGCATGTATGTGTGTGTGTGTGTGTGATTGTGTCTGTGTCTGTGTACTATCTGTGTATGTGTGGCAAGCTGATTTAACATTTATTCTTTAAAAAACTGACTATATATTCAGTTAGTACTAGAAAAAACCTAATAGTTTATAGTAAAAAAAAAAAAAAAAAAAATCACAACCAGTTGCAAAAAAAAATGTATGCATGCTATCTGGAAGTGAACATGTGGGATCTGAATTACAATCTAAAATACAAACTAATTTGTAGCATTAAACACATTTTTTAAATATCATTAAAGGGGTGGTTTACTGCTTTTTTTTCTTTGCATGATTGTGTTTATGGGGTGCAATATAACATGTATTCGTGGTTTTTCTTTTTTTTTTAAAAAGTCTTATTTTTCATAAATTTCACCTTTATTGTAAGCCGCTTTCTCCTTTGTCATTTGAACGACCGGTTTACATCCTGATTCTGTGAAACCACTCCCTCAGAAACAGGCAGTGGGCTCAGATTGGTTAGTTTGGGCCGGTGTGTTGTGATTGGCTAAACTGTGTAGCGCACCTTGTCCAGATACTTCACGACCATTACCTTTACGGGCGAAAGTTGCATATGTGTTCCTGTCAAATGTCAAATAATGGTGTCGATACTGCTGTAACAACTTCAACCTTTCATAAAAGGGTAAAATTATTATAACAAAGGGAGTGGTCTATTATTTCAAAAGTACTACACAAAAACAGCATGATTACAATAACAGCACAGTCACCAAAAAATAGCGTGTTGAAATTATAAGGACAATTTATAAATTTGGCAGGCACCTGCAAACATAACAAATCTGTTGACTCTTTGTTTAAAACTCAAACAAAGCAAAAAAGCAAAATATAAATAACAAAGATACTCAACAGTCCTGGCTCAGTCCTTTTCTGCTTTGGGGTAGGTAGGCAATTGAAAGTCTGGATGGAAAACAATGTCCCCAAAAAGAGAAAAAGAATAAATCCATTGGTCTGAGGTCCCACAAGAAAAGGTTATCCTCCAGTTGGAATAAGTCCCCAAAAGTATAGTCCACCGCGTATATCCCAGAGCATGCACATATGAAACAGCTCACACGTCTAATAAACCATGTCTCTATTCCCAGAGGTCATTTTGCACCATTTTCTCTGAGCCAGGTTAGCCAAAAAAAACCATGCCACCTCACCAAACAACCACCTTTCAAAATGGCCGCCCTTCCCCCTTTTTACCCTAGGCTCAACATAATAAGAGTCTTAAAGGGATAGTTTACTTTGAAATTAATTTTTGATTAATTCTTTGTCTTTGTTTCCACAGTATTTTCAATTTTTACATTTTTCGGTCAAACCGTTGTTGTCTGTTAGTCATATAATGGAGTTTTAGGGGGTCCACCTCAAAGAGTATGCACAGAGAAGTCAAAATTAAACATGATTTAATGACTCGTAAATGTAAGTACACACTGATGGCCTAAGACACGAAACGAGCGGTTTGTGTGAGAAAACGAACAGTATTTAAATAGTTTTTATCTCTTGTAGCACGTAGCTGTTAACGTGCACTGATCCAACTGAACCGAACTGAACCGTCTCCAGAAGTTAGGCCGAAAGTGATCTCTCGCGCGTCTACGTCACGCATTGTTTACACAGAGATTTCGGAAGTTTTACCTTTCACTAAACATATTTAGATATACCGGAAATCGCAATGGAAGACGATTTCGATATATCTAAATATGTTTAGCATAGCTAAATAACGTAGATGCCTACCTCGTGATGACAAACCGGATCGAGCCACCGAGCAATAAACATGGCGTTTACAAAATATTGTGCAGTGTCTGGTTGTGGAAGAAGACAGTCGCTGCTTGCGCGAGTGAGTTGAAACTCATTATAATATGCAAAACTGTTATCCACTCACAGCAGTGGGCGTTTACTTCCAAGTCTTCAATGCGAGACACCCATAAAAACTGAGTGTTTTTGAGCTAGGCTTAAAACTAGGGTAGAAAATAGCCTATTACTTATTCATTTTGATGTTTTTGAATGTAAAAACCAAGCGAACGTCATAAGTTGACCTCAGACAACAATATAAAAAAATTAAAAAGACAGTTCATGACCCCTTTAAGTCGCAGAAATGGGTCTCCTGGATTTCTTTTTAGAGTGGGATGCTAGTCTGGATGACACACTAATAATTATAAAATAACTATTAACATTAAAATACATTAAAGAAATTAATATTAAAGCAGCTTGCCACAATGTGTGTATGAGAGAGAGAGAGAGAGAGAGAGAGAGAGAGAGAGAGAGAGAGAGCTTGGTTAAATTGATGGTGCTGCATCAATCAGGGGGCGTGACTAAATAGACCCTTTCCCAAGAGCTGACAGATTAAAACGGAGGGAAGCAGTGTGTGTTGTTTTTTTGTGTGTGAGCAGTGTGTGTTTTTGTAGAGAAAGGTCACAGAACAAATTTTAGTGGGGTAAGTACTGACCGTGCACACTGAGCCAAAGGCACGTGGTCCTTTAAAGAAGGGGGGAGGACGCACATTAAATGAACGTCATCTAAAAAAATATATATATATATTGGCTACTCACCCAGCTACTGTATATTCCAAATCTGACCTTCTTTCTTCTAGCTGAACACAAAAGGGAATATTTCACAAGAAGTTCACACATTATAACAAAAGCATACAATGGCAGTGACCACAACGTGGCAAGGTTAAAAACAGAAAAAGTAACAGCCTGTGGGCAACATGAACAGATGAAAATGTAAGTTGTATTTAGTATGTATTTATCACACTAATGATTATGCTTAATATGCACATGATGTTCCATGGAGAAACATATGAAAACGTCCTCTCTTCTTTTTTATTTTTAAGTGAGCTGTTCCTTTAAATCTCATTGGTGGCCCTCAGACACTGCATAGACATACTCATATCTTTTAATCGCTCTCTTACTCCTTATCTCTGTCATTTCAGACATCATTTTTGGTGACAATTACAATTAAAAGTCTGTGATATGATACATTACTCCCTAAGGGTGTCAGCAGAACCAGAGCAGATGTCTAATTTGGGCTCGTTCTAACCCACATCAGTCAGTGGGTAATTAGCCGTTCTTTATTTATTTTGCACTGTCAGTTTTAAGGACTGCGATAACTAATAGTTATTTGTGAGGTAGAACTTATTATCCAAATTATCTGCAGGGAGATTCCCCTCCTACCATCCTGGCCCTGTCGTGGAGTTGTGTTTGCCATCCTTAATCACTAGTTCACCAAGCGTTTACTCCTGCAGAGATTATTCCAACTGTAATTCAACACAACTGAAAGAACTAATTCAGCAGGTGTGTTGACTGGGGCTGGAACTAAACCCTTCCAGAAGGTACAGTAAATATCCAGGAGAAGGAATGAGCTACAGCAAGAGCGCGCTTATTTTTTTCAGCATGAAAGTGTAATGTAGCGTAATGCATCCAGATGTGGCTTTTCTTTCCTATTTCTATTTATTCCTAGTGTCGATTCTCATTACTGTAATACAATGATTTTTTTTAAAAAAAATTTAGACAGCGCAATAAATACTAGGCTACTATTGTTGTGAAGCAACTACAACTCTATACTGTGTTATTTACATTTTTTTTCAGTAAAAAGGGTAATAATTATTATTTTGCATTACATTAATGATAAACGGGGGGGGCAAAATAGACTAAAATATATGAACAAAGCGTCTGTGACGTGACGTCACCCATAGACTTTCTGAAGAACAGTTAACTTTTGAGGTAAAAAAAAAAAAAAAAAAAAAGTTAACTTTTGAGGCTGTTTATGGGGGTATGGGCGGCGCCATATTAGACATCTTGAGAAATACAAAATACAAATGTTCAGAAAGGATACAGAGGTGGTATAATGTGTTGTGTCAGATCATGGCCGAGACGTCAAATTCCACTCGGCGCCCGTTATCAGCTGTCAATCAAAGTTAACCGCCCTTATTTGTTATACGATTTATATCTAACGTTAAATACGATCTAAACTAAGGAGTTAGAAAAAAATTCACCCCCTCACATTTGGTAGGCACGCGGAACCTATCCGAAAATACAATAAAAGTCCGTGGGACCAACCTGTAAAAGCATGAATTTATCAGGAATGTATGCTGTGAAAACGGCCATTTTAACATGGGATCTGGATATTTGCTCCCTTTTGGGACCTCCACTCCCTGTAGCGGATCTTAGATGTATTGCAGTTTTTCGCACTTCCGGGTAGGCTTCATCTTAAATTCAGAAAATGCTGCTTCAGCAAGGATGCATTCAGGTTTAAAGTGACAGTAAAGTCTTTGACGTGTTATTTCTTTCAAATAAACGCTGTTCTTTTAAACTTTCTATCAAAAAATCATTAGAAAAAAATGGTATCACAGTTTCCACAAAATGTTACTGTTTTCAACAATAATAATAATATTTTTTTTATCCTGCAGCAAATCATCACATTAGAATGATTTCTGAAGGATCACGTGACACCTACTGGACTAATAATGCTGAGCTTAAAATAACATATGAAAATAGAAAACATGTATTTTAAATTGTAATTGACAATGTTTGACAATGTTTTACTGTATTTTTGATCAAATGAATACGAAAATCAAATGAAAATCTTATCCGCCATACACTTTTCAAAGCATTAAAAATACTGTGAAAAAAAAATAGTATCAATATAATAAATAACTCAAAGAAAGACAAACCATTTACACTGCATTTAAAACTACCAACTACCAAAATAAAATGGCATATTAGAAAGAAACACTCTGGAAAACAGAAGTCTTTTGTTTTACTAATTAACTTGATCACGGGTCAATAATGATGCATTTTCAAAGAAATTAGATAGCAAATACTCCTGCCACACTGTCAAATAAAGTACTGCTAATGTGAACAGTGACCCCGAACACTAAAGTATACTTATGTCCATGTGTAAGATTGATGCTGACGGTTAGTGCATGTGTGTGTGTTAATGGCTAGCACCAGTGGGTGTTTAAGTAAATGATTCACTTTGTTAAGTGTGTCTAGGGATGTTTTTT